TGCATTCTATATCTCGGTCTAAAATTGATAAGCTCACAAATACATACATCAATTAAATGCATAATCCACAATGAATAATTCTTGTCCTTTTTTTATAATTTGTATTCCACAGTTACAGCGTGAAGTTATTGGTCCATACATTGGCAATGTCTCCTATTGGGCTTGTTTTTATTTTATATTTATCTACTAATGTTGCTTTCTTTGAACATTAAGTGAATAAATATTATTATTCTGTCAAGTATACCATACACATAAACAGTCCTCCAAGTAATTGAGCTGTTCACGAATGCTGATGCTGAAATGCATCACCATAACCATTATAACTCTAGAAATTAAGTATTTACGCGAATAACAATCTTGTACAGCGGTTAAGTGTACAAATTGGCGTAACTAAGAGCTCAGTGGTCTGCGAGTAAAAATTATCTCAATAAAACCCAATAATGCTCAATAAGTAAATGAACGGTTTTTGTAGCTGAATGCAGTTATTGAATGGTTTCCGATGCGAATTGTTCAAGAAAATTATGGTCCGGTGGAAACTTATTTGATTTGTTCGCTATAATTTACGCCATGGCGTTGTTCAGCTGTCGGTGTATAGACATATAGGTTGTGCACGTGGACAAACGTAATTGCTAACTTGGAATGTATCGCCAGTGGCTAGTAGCGCTGCATGTTAGATTCTGAAATAGGATTTGTGGAATTTAACAGCAATCAGCCTACTATTTCGCATTCTTATGTTTTGCTATCACAGATGACGATAAAAGATATTTTCTTCTTGAAAATAAAAATGATAGCTTCTTATAATTTAAAGTAACATAAGCAGGAGTTTAACCACTTAAAATGGTGTGTACTTCTCCTGTATAGGTCTAAAGCTCGATGAATCAATTATCGGATTTCTCGACCACTTAAACGAAAAATACAGAACCCCCAAACCATAAAGCCAAGGTAGAATTCGGTGTATATATTTCTAGAAACTGCTCATCCGACAAACAATCCATAAATTATACTGGACTTCCACTGGTTTAATGTGTTGTATACCATTTTTCATCGTGAAAACATCCAGGGTGTAGTTATTTCAAAAAATGTTTCAATATCCAACTGACGAGGAAGTATTCTAATCACAAAGTAAACACAAGGTTACTACTATGCTGAGGACAAAGAGCTTTGACAATCGAAATGAATAAAAATCTAAGCTCAGTCTTTTGACGTTTCCGAGAGATCAGCACGATCTCAGAAACAGCTTCTTCGGGATTGGTGATTAAGGTTGACGGTTGTAGGAGATATGGAGTTGTAAATGTTGCACCTTTGGTATTAGTGAATGATGTTTTATTATTAAGAAGCTTCTGTTTTTGGTAATACTATGGATCTAATACAATAATCAAGCCATGCGTATGTACGAATATGTTGAGACGTTGGTCAGGCTTAGAAGACACCGTAGTTCAGCGCTGCATGTTCCGAGATTTGACTCGCCTGTGAGGCGACCCGATGAGACCAATAAGTTTTGTTCCCGGCAGAAACTGCCAGAAGCGTAGGTGTGCGGCGTATATCTTACCACAGGATAAAAAAAATGGTAGTGGCCACGCTAGGAATACTTGAGACATTGTTTTTGCGTTTTGTATCATAACTAAACTTAGCATTGCTTTTGCGTCGTAAAATAGTATAAAAGTGTGCTGCACCAAATGTACCTTCGTCTAGATGATCGGAAAGAAAAGTGAAAAATGTCGCGTTTATGGTAAAAGGCGTTCAGATAATAAATGTCTGATCCAAGCAATATTACGCACCTGTTAGATATAACATTCACATCCGCTATTGAAAGAGAACTGTCATAGGTTTATTTTATATGGATTGAGATGTAGAGCTGTTTTACAATATATCGTAGATTTGTGAACATAGTAAAACAAACTATTCTTTTAATGGACCTGATTTATATAAATTTCTTGTAATTAATTGTGTTTGTGGTCTAAAGAAATATTTTCCTGTTAGAAAGATGCCGACAATTCGGAAAATTTATTTCCTTCTTCAGTGCTACAAAAATAATTTAAAATCCTAACTTTAGATATACACGAGTTAAAAATTTAAATAATATCCATGCAAAATATGCTTATTTTTGTTAAGACATATAAAATGAACTATAAAAAAAACGGATGAAAAGTTCTTTTTCCATCTTTAGTTATCAGAAAAAATGAGATTTTTAGGAAACTCATCCTTTTAGTTAGAAACGGTGCTGGTCAAGGAATCTTCTAATGTATACAGAATGATGGAAAGGCATTTCTAAATAGTTAAAGTGTGGGGTATCTTTTGCTATATTGAATTCATTCCTATGTTGTTAGTGGAACTCGGGAATGTGTTTAAGTGGTTCATTTCATGTAACTATACTTTACACCGATTTTATTATTTAAATTGTAAATTAATGTATATGTAAGGTTAGTGTTTTATTTTTTTTGTGAGCCCTCAAGAAGGATATAAATTTTTTTGTACATGTAGACAACTTTGTATTTAGACCCCAAATCCAATTAAATTACAAGAAATTTATACTAAGTCAGTGTAACGCAGGTCTGAAACGCCTGTGGGCTTCTTGTTGATAGGAGGACTGCATTGTATGGTTGCTAAGTCAAACCACACATGCTTAAATGCGACATTGAAAAGTATTCAAGCATGTGTGGTTTGACTTAGCGACCAGACAATGGAGAAACGTCAGTATCAAGGCGTCTAATTCTCGTCAAATAGCCAATCATACCGATTTAGGTCAACTAATAGTCATTTGACTAATTGATAATACCAACAATTAATTCAACTAAATGAATTCATTTTGAAAAAGCTTGCTCAATACAAGCCTCTTAGCTGCGAGTAGAGCTAGCTCTACGTTTACTTTCTTCACCTTTCTGGTAAAAGCGGCAGATGTTTTACCTTATTTACGATGCGTTAGAGAAATTGCTTTGAAATAACGACTTCTCTGAAGTCCAAACACTACTCGTGTTATGTATTTTCGATGTGTAGCTTCTTCAAGTGACTCAATAAAACAAGTCATTGATCATTGGCGAGTTTTGTATCTCTGTAGAGGCGTTAACATATGAAGAACTCGTGAGACCGAAAGTTATCACAATTTAGATAATTTCTTAAGATAAATCAACTTCTATCAGAAAAGTGCTATCGGATAAAGTTGTATGTTTTCAGATGGAACAATGGCACAATGATCCTTTTCTTCTAATTCTAAATATATAGATTTATCACACTTGTTTTTATCAGTTGAAGTTTGTGTGTTTACTCATGTATATTAGAGTTCGAACCTGTTTGCATTAATTTGGCTTGCATCTAGCAGCATATGCAATCTGGGATAGGGCCACACATATGATTAAATGACTCAAACTTGAAGTTTTTGACTAAAGTAATAAAAATAAGTTCAACAAACCATATATACTTGGAATCAGACAAAAAGGAACTATCATTTTTACTAATTTAGAAAATACATTTTTATTCGATAGAAATTCTCTGAGGCCAAAAACATGTTACATGAAAAACTTCATATTAGATTCTATATCTTTTATCTACAACTTTTCCTTCTAGAAGGTCATAAATAGGTTAGAGGGGAGACAATTTATAGCGGGATACCCTGTACTTAGTAATTGTGCACCTTTCATGATTGAATTAGCTTAATTTAAGAATAAAAACTACAGAAACCAATTAAAATTCCACACGTTTCTTACAAAGTTTCTTATTAAATGGTACCCAAATAGAAGAATATAAAAAATATTAATCTTCGACCCTACAGAAAAAAACTACAAACCGTAGGGAAAATAATTTATATTTATAATAAAGTAGACACATGGGAATTTTATTTTTTAGAAATACCATCATTGTGATGTGATCCATCGTGACGCACACACTCCTCGAATCTCGAAATTCGTGAAAACTCGCTGGCACATTGCTCGTGGGATAGCGGACATCTCTAAAATATTGTGCTTGAGCTGGGCAATCGTGTTCGGTTTATTGGTGCAAACGCGGCTCTTGAGGTAACCCCAGAGAAAAATCCGGTGGAGTGAGATTTGGGCTTCAGGGAGGCCACGGAATGACCCCTCGTCGCAATATGAGTTTTCCACTAAGCATTTCGCTAAAGTCTCGTTGGCGATATTGGATGTCACGCCATCTTATTGAGACCAGGTGCTGCTATGGTAGGCTTCAAAATTATGCAGTTGTGGAAAGAAAAAGTTACGTAAAATGGCCGACCAAACTGTAACATAACGGGAATGAAATAGTGCTTTAATTTGGGATTTGCTGCGGCCCAATACCGGTTGCTTGTTGACCAATCCAACCAAATCAACATGAGCTTCATCAGAAAAGAGAATATTGTTGGAAAGTGCTCTAACATTGTTTCTGCAAGCGCACGTCGTAAATGGTGGTCCTGCGGTGTCAACTCATGCAAGGGCTTTCACCAAAATACCAAAATGTCCTTGATACGGCGACCTCAGCTGATCTCTTCTTTCGAGATGATTACTGTGGGACTGTGGATCGCGTCGTACGGATGTCACAACTTCGCTTAGGCTGCCCGTCCAGTGGACGCGTTTTCGCGCGAAGAGGCGAAGGGCGAAATGGCGCGAATTCGCGCCTTGTTTCAAACGTGTCGATTTACATGGGAACCCGTCCACTGGAAGCGCCACTTTCGTCACTTGAAATAGCATAAAAATCTTTGGTGGCGCGTCTGTTGTAATTTCATGACGTATCATAGGCGTCCGGTCATTATTTATTTAGAATGATAATAATAATGATTTTATATCACAATAAATGGATTTTACTATCTTCTTATTTAAATAAAACGCACCCGGTATTTCACGGTGTTTCAAGTGACTTCAAGTGAAGTATAATAATAATCAAAGTCCTATTAATTTTCAACTTAATTTTGTTTTTTCGACTTTTTTATTATTTTAAAAGGCTATTGAGTACAAACATATAATATGAGTTCTTTCTCGTTACACATTAGGTCACAAAATTTTTTGGTACCTACCTACCTAATTAGTCGTTTCTATATCACCTTGCCGGGAGAAGAACATTTTGAATGTTTCCCTTACTTGCATTGAGGAATGTGAGCCACGGTTGATTGCCCTTCCAGGAAACGACGAATGAGAGGTGTTCCAGTGAAGTGACAGAGGAGAGGTTCCCGGAATCATATCCCTGGGACCTTCTTTATTGATGACAATGTTGTGCAGTAGGCAAATACGTTTCACAATGTGTTCAGCTCTCTCGGGCTTGACCTCAATAGCCTTGAGTAGAATACGCCATTTATGAGAAATTATACCGAAAGCACACTCGACAACTTGCCTTGCACCTGACAAACGTTTGTTATAGTTCTCTTGCTCAGTGGTTAAACCTCTCAGTGGGTAAGGACGCAGTAAATACGTCTTCAATGGAAATCCTCCATCCCCGATAACTACATGTGGTGCTTCTATGTCAGTACCAGGTAGTATCTTCAAAGTGTTCGTTTTAAGAGCACCTCTTTCTAGGGCTCGAGCCAATTGTGAGTGCCCAAAAACTCCGCTGTCACTTTGTTTTCCGTAAGCTCCGACATCGATGCAGATGAATTTATAATTCGCATCGACCACTCCTTGCAATATAATTGAAAAGAACTTTTTGTGATTGTAATACATACCTACTTCCTGAATGAGCTGGACTGTTAATTCGAATGTGTTTACCGTCTATGCAACCAACGCAGTTGGGAAATTTCCACTTTTCCCAAAACTCAGAGACGATGTTGTCAACTTGATTGTCAGATGGAAAGGGCATGTGTTCATCATGCAAGCTATCCCAAATCACTTGACAAGTTTCATGTACGATGCGTCCGATGGTCACTTCGGAGATCCGAAACGAATAGCTTAATGAGATGAAAGACGAACCGGTAGCTAGGTACCTGTAAAAAGAAACATAAAAAAATACACCACAATATTTTAACGTTTTATTTTTTTGCCATATTTTCTGTTGTAGTAAATGATGTCAAGAAGAAGTGGAAAGGGCTGAGAGATACGTTCAGGAAGGAGTTGAAAAAGGTTTTGGAAGAAAAATCAGGGAAAGGCGCCGACTTATCGAAACTTTGGCCTTATTTCACGCAAATGGAATTCTTATCCGACACCATGATGCCAAAGGATACACAAACAAGCATCCCAGAGTCACAGGAAGAGTTTGACGGTATCTCTTTATCTGAGAGTTCTGTAAATGAACCTGATGAAAACAATGACCAACTATCACAAGATGAAGCAATTGAAGTAATTGAACCCACGAAAAGAACGGAATTCAAAAGCCCATTGAAACGCAACCGAGAAAAACAAAAGAGAGATGAAATGGATGACAAACTTTTGGATATTGAGAGGCAAAAGTTTTCATTATTTTCAAAGGCTGCTGACGAAATGAGAGATGATGACTATCAATATTTAATGAGTCTCCTGCCATATCTGCGAAAAGTTCCGCGTGCACATAAACTACAAGCCCGAGTGGAGATGATGAATGTGCTCGTGAAATACACCACTCCTCAGTGTTTACCCCTATCATCACAGCACATGACTTCGTCCCTGGCCTCGCCGCCTTCTTCTCTGCACAGCGAATCTTCTTCAAACCTTCAAGAATTTTACAGTACTTTCAATCCTGCCGGAGCGCATCCACCAACTTTTCATCAATTTCAGTAGCAAGGGGCAAGTGAATAGCGTTTTTTAATGAAATAAAAAATATGTTGAGTACCTACTGCATTTCCTTAAAAAAAATACCTACAAAATAATATGTACCTACTTCCATTGAAATAACACCTTTAACTGTTACCAAATACAACAATTTGATGCATAATAATACGAGTATCATCACCGTACTTACCTCAACGTGACAGCAAGGCGTTCTGCTGGAGAAACTGTGTCTCTGAAGTTGGACGATCGTTCAATTCGGTCCTTAATCTTTGAATGTATATATTCAAAGGTGCTTTTTTTCCATCCTGAAGTAGTTGAAAAAACCTTCGGACGACAGATCCTTCTGCAGGTGGAACCACTCTCCACATTCTCGATGAACATACACGTTCTTCACCCATTCCTGCCTCATGTTCCGACTCATCTTTCTTCTTCTTCTCATTAGAACGGATGAATCCAATGCATATAATAGCAAAAATTCTGAGAGCGACATTCTGCGTTCGTACACGGAGATGAGAGGTGACTGAGTTCGCGTCTTCGCGAGCGCGGCAGATCGCTTGCAATGGACGGGGTTGCCTCGCGCGAAGACGTGAAGAAGCGAAAACTTGTGATTTCGCCGTTCGCCTCTTCGCGCGAAAACGCGTCCACTGGACGGGCAGCCTTACAATTTCCTCTGTTCGTATGGACCCAGGTTTCTGATTCAGTGTCGAACCGGTAGACTCGAACTTTCTGACCCACGACCTGATCACAATTTCACTAGTACATTGATTTAAACTCAGAGCGTAACAGACGCCGCGCAATAATGCACGAATTTTCATTTTTGTAATGAGCCCTGACTCAACGCATGCCGCTCACCGGTGAAACGCTCCATGGCGACTAAATTTCCGAGCACTAAGCTACTTATCCCGACTATCCGTCTCCCGCTCCCGCGTGCCTGTCACCAGCAAGGCGGTTTTGAACTTGGTACGTATTTCTGGTCCACCCTATATAAACATGTAGCCTAAGTGTCTTCTAAGTAAACTGCTAACCAATCAAGAATTTCGTATTGCTGAAGATGGATACTCATGTGATCTTTTTCCCACTAACCATCAATCCACGCCAAATTAGCTCCATAAACCACGTTCATGCAATTATGATTGAAGAAGGCTCGATTAGCCATTAACTAAGAGAACTTTATGGAGCAACGATGGCGAGCTATAAAAGAATAACTTCATCAAAGAAACATTAACGGCAGAGCGCCAGTACAAGCCAACTACGATTGCTGCGGTTAATATTTAATATTGCAAATGTGGTGCAGGATTAAACTGTCCAATCACGCAAGTCAATCAGAGCCCTGATGTCAATTAAAGATTTATAGGTGGGTGATTATTGGTTTGTTCAGGTAGAGTGCATGTCTTGATTGTCTTTCAAACGGAGTTTAGTGTCAAACGCATCAAGTTTTTTTGGTACTTTTCTTCGATATTGTGGTATTGTGTTCCAGTTTTTCCTTGCAACGGCAAAACTCAAAACATGTCTGTCTATCACTTAACATGAAGCACTCGTATTATGTTTTTCATGAAACAATTGTGAGAATACAGCATTCGGCTTTTCTGTTAGCTAGTGCGTTCGCGGATGCGATAAGAATGGTTATTGGCTGCTTAAAAATGTATGATTATAGGGCCGGAAAAATGAAGCTTGGATAGATAGAACGTATCATTATTTTATTTAGGTCACAGAAGAGGAAAGTACCAAAACCAGACCCTCCTCTAAACCGGCCATTGAATTCATTGGTTCTGTGTTCTCTCACCATTACGAGGAGATGACGAAAAGTTCTCGGCATGACCCAGACATGGCCAAGGACTGATTTAGGAATCTAACTAGGTATTGAGAGGAAATGCCATTGTGACAATTGATGAGCGAGAGGTGGGATACGTCTAGGGCGAGGCGCATGTTTAAGCGCTGATGAAAGAAATTGCCCTTGGGGGAATCCTAATGTTTGAGAAATGCTGAACCAAGCGTGTTGGAGTTGAAAGAGATTATGTAGATTGATGATGAATGATTATGTAGTCATTTTCCAACTGAATAACAGTCTTTCACTGCCAGGCCGAGAACTTTTCACCCTACCCTCGTAGCAGTACTCCCGAGCCGTAGTGGAGCTCACGAGTACATTGCGTCACAGGTTGTTTGTCAACCATTGTGTTTTGATGTTAGGAAACGAAAAGTGCTGCAATTTTCATTGTTCATAGTATTTACAAAGCCTTTATATCTATATATTATCCTAAATGACAACATACTAGAATCATATTTCTCATGACATTGGTTCACTTAGATGTTTGATTGGAATTCTATTGAATAAATAGTAGTTTTTGAATTTAGTCGCGGAAACCAGGTTCATCTCAGTTATCCAAATATACTATCTACTATTCCGTTTCAAGTTCGAAAAGGATAGTGGCGAAAACTAATAAAACGGGGACCCGTGAATTATAAGATCCTTGAGATCACTTGTTATAAAAGTTTATTTTTCAAAAATACGTAATTCAAAAAATTGTGCTCTTCCAAAATTATAACAATATTACCATGATGCTTGCAGGACAATGGCTTGGATCTGACTGACTACAAAATGAGTTCAGAACAACAAACTCTGGCTCTTCTAGAAAATTGGTATCATGGTCAGCATTATTCCTGGCATTTCTCATTATTGCGAGAAAAATTAAAAAACCGATGAAACATGCTTTGTAGTGTATGAAGAAGCGGCTGTGGTACGAATGTCTACAAATTTCGCAGAATTTGATTTTTTAATATGTTTATGTTTGGATGAAAGCAGTCAGCTTTTTGGGCTAGCACTTAATAGACATCATTTTAAATGTAAAATGTGTAATAAAAATGGTGTCAATGGAATAATGTATGTTTTGTGTAAAACGGAGGAAATTCTAGAATAAAACGTGCGATGCGTGGAAATTTTTATGTTTATGCTGAATTCTTCTTCTACGGCATTTACGGTACAGCTCAACATTTCAATATAGCATATTAACGTCAAAGAAGTATCTGCAATGTTGTTCCTCTAATCACATTCGTACATCTAACGAATTGGCTCTGTACACCTTTTTGAACATCTATACACTATACAAATTTTGGCGTTAGAATAGCGTTTATATGTTCCAAGGTATCATTTTTAGTCTAAATAGTATCATTTATTATGTAAAATATTTCGGAAATACTGGGAGTTTCAAGATCATCCATACCTCAATCGCTTCTTCAGGCGCCACATAGTACTTTTAGGGTGGATTTCACCAAGGTTGGCTAACAAACAGTCAGTTATTCTCCACCTAGAGGGTTACAGTCCGTCAAATACAGCGAATGAGCTTCAACATCCAATCAACAAATGTCAGCAACCAATCCCTAAGAAATCTTGAAAACAAAATATTGTCAAAGTACGAGTAGGAGATGACAGCTTGTCCTTGAAACATCACCAGCTTATTGAATATTAAGAAATTTCATATAATTCAGTCAAAATTTAAAGAAATGTTTGCTTTTTGAGTAAAATTCATGTTTAAATTACTATTGTTGATTTTATTCATGTTTGTATTATTTTCATCAACTGATATGCGATCTTACTGATTTAACATCACCTATTTCCTATAAACCTCTTGCAGATAGACACTAAACACCTACTTGATGACGGACTCTACCAAAAATTTCATAGATATTGCTCGTTTCCAAACATTCATACATTTACTTGCCATTATGGCACCTTATATTGACACTCCCACAAAACCGTTCAGGTTTTTTGACATCCATACATCCATAAAGTTGAATTTTTTCGTTGTTCAGAAACTGAACAAACATCCACACTATATTTTCAGCAATTAAGAAATACCCAAATACCAGCAAACCTAAAACTTGCAAAAAAAAACTAGAAATTTGAAATATTTTTCTTTTTTCACGAGTACACATTCTAGGTTATATAATTAGACATTATTTGAATAACAGCTGATTATTACATT